CGATGAGCCGGGACTCCCCGTGATGCAACGTGAAGAAGGATTCTGGTTTCAGTCCCCTCTGCTCCAGGGCCTCTCTGAGACGGACCGGCGGCTCCAGGTAGTACTGCATGGAGGAGAGACGAGGAAGTCTAGACTTAAATTATATTACCATTTGTACCTCATATTACATCCATGAAAAAAATGGCAGGGTTTGTATACATAAGCAAACGTTACCATGAACTGCAAAAACCAGGCACTTAAGATAACTGTATTTACATATTTAAGACTTTAAAATACTTTGTTTCCACACTATGTGGGAACCCTTATGGAAACCCATTTCTGCCACTGTAAAAAAAAAAAATTGAAAAAAATCTAGAAAAGATCAAAATTATCTAGAAAATTTCTAGATAAAATCTAGAAAAGGTTTTTTTTTTTTAAATCTTTTCTAGATTTTATCTCGAGATAAAATCTAGAAAAGATTACAAAAATCTTTTCTAGATTTTATGTCGAGATAAAATCAAAAAAAGATTAAAAAAAAAAAATCTTTTCTAGATTTTATCTCGAGATATAATCTAGAAGAGATAATTTTGATCTTTTCTAGGACCTAAGACATTTCTTTTTTCTAAACAGTGGCAGAAATAGTATTTTTAAGTCTTAATATCTAAATATTGTTTTCCTTAGTGTAGTATGAGGTAGAACTGGTTACATAATTTAAGTCTAGACTTCCTCACCTCTGAACGAAGACCAATTTCTACCGTCCTAACAAATGGTTGACATTTAATTTACATTGTATAAAGGCAGGCTGCTTCTATTTTAACTTAAGACATGTAGTGACTGCTGCTGACTCTTTTCTAACATCCTACCTCATAGGCGAGGGCGAAGGTCCCCCAGTGTATGGCTACAGACTGTTTGGCCTGAAGGTCCTGATGAATCTGAACAGCCTCTTCTGGATCCACATGCTGTCCCTTCATCACATCCCTGAAAACCCAACAGGAAATGACATCAGTCCTGCTTATTAAAATGCTGAAACTGAACATTAAGATATTTTTGCATGCACGTGTATGAAAGGAGACCTTAAACCGAGTACCACTGGCTACACATTGGTATACTTAGCAAGTGTTGGACTACGCTACTGCACTATAATATGAACCTGTAACAGTGGTTTCAGTGAATTTGTCAGCTTCTGCACATATTAAATAACTTCATATGAAACACATAAGTATGCCCCAGAAGTGTGTGCCTCTCTACCTGGGCAGGTTTGCTCCAATAGGGATCGCTCCGAGGTTGAATGGCCCAAAGCGGCGTCCGATCTGGTAGGACGAACAGTAGCCTGTGTCGCCGGCGAAGAAGAATCGATGGTTGGGACCCAAAACAGACCAGCTACTCCATAAAGACTGAAAAGATATAAAAAGTTAAATGGTTACAATTCTGACAGTTTTAGTGCAGCAGAAAATTAAAGATTTTCATGGAGAGAAAGAGAAGATTTGCCCTTTTTGTTTAATCTATCTTCTTCATTTAAAAATGTTGGGCTGCAGACTCTTCAATAAAGTGCTGCTATCACACCGAATACATTTCTGCTCACTTGCCCAACGATAACATTGCAGCACTTAGATTATCAGTGCTGTTTATAAAACCAAACTGATAGCAGTCCCAACACACTACAACATTTACTATCAAGTACCCTGTTATCATCCCACGCTGTCCGTTTGCTCCAGTGCTGAGAGGGTGTGCAGACAAACGTGATGTTGTCGTGACCCGGGACGCAGTTTTCCTCCCACCAGTCCAGCTCCATCACGTTCTCAGCCCATCTTGGCCAGCCAGTCCATCAAACCCAGGGGTACGAACCTGTTAAAACATTCAACATATTTCACAGGGACACTGGAAGGTGTGTGTGTGGGGGAGGGGACAGGGAGGGGAACCATTTGGGACACATACCAGTGTAGCTCCCCTCCAAAGCATGTATTAAGGCTGGCAACAGATCCAGCATCCAGGTGATCGTAATGAGAGAGGCTGATGAGGACGGCGTCTATCCTCGGCAGCTGTTTGTAGGAGAGGACTGAGCTGAATAAAGCCAGGTTTGATTCAAAGGATTCTGTCTGTTCACAAAGTAAAAGCGAGAACATGAAAGATCTTCAAACCTGTTCCACTGTGCAGGGGGGTCCACTGTATCGTTTGGGCCCCATGAACTGAAGAAATGATGCTCTCTGGCTGAAAATGGGGTCGGTCAGGATGTTGACCAGAACTGTAGCGTGGCCCAGCCAGGTGACCCTCATACCAGCAGGAGAGTCCAACGCTTCTGGATTCTGGACAAAGTAGGGCTCCAATACTGGGAGTTCACTGTCCAGGACCTGTGGGGAGAGCAGGGAGGACAGAAGAAACTTAGACTGACTAAAAAAATATATATATATATTATTTTAAACACGCTCATCTTTCAACCTATATATTTGTAAGTGTTGGCTAAATACTAGAGGACAACGACCTCGCAGCTAAAAGGTCCTTTAACAAAGTTTTGCGTCAGTGGGGTTGAATACAAATGGATGTCACGCTTTTCAGATTTTTTGTGCTCATAAGTTATCAGATAAAGTCCAATAAATAGACAATATACAAACAACTGGTGCAAATAAAGAATTCAATGTTTTTGTTGTTATGCTGCGTGAAAGCAGCTTTTAAGGCCAGATAATCCCTCAATGGACAGCAAAGTTTCCAGAAGCAGCTATAAATTACAGCATGTTAACTCAGGGCTGTGGAAGATGAGCTTGTGATACTAATTATTACAGCAGAGCGGTAAGCAGACTCCATAAATGTGAGCACTGCAGACTTGGCTCTTCTTCCACTAATAAAACGTTTTGTTTTTTTTTTAAGTTTCTGAATTATCTACAGTAAAATAAAGTGACTTGCGGGTTTTAACATGCAAGTGGTTTCCTACCTCTTTGCTTGTTGGCACACTGCTGTGATTTTTATCCAGCACCAGAAATCTGAGCAGCATAGAGTAGGAAGGAAAGCGCCATGTTGGCCAGGGGTTTGTCCAGCGACCATGTTTGCCCCGACAAGACTTCGTCACCTCCTCCTGCATTCAAAAATAAAACACACCTGAGATACAGCGTGACATTTATTTGAACTCTGAAGAGACTTGAATGTTGGGCGTTGGTGAGCAGAAGGAGGAGGGTCGTTACCTCCAGTCGGTAGTCCAGACGGAAACTCTTACGGGAAGAGCGGGAGGAGCTGCTCTTCCTCGGTGTTCGAGGATCCACCTTTCCACCTTCGGCACCTTGAGGCAAATCACCATCCTTAATAAAAAAAATTAAATTAAATAAAATACAAAGAGCGATTTAAAAAGCATGCGAGTGCTGATAATTTAGGACAAACATCAGCAGAAACTCATCCTGACATGCAAGATTTTTCAGGATAAAAGTGTTGATGGTTACCTCCACCAGGCCTGTTGTCTCTTCCAGCTCTGCTCTGTCTGAGGATTTTGGTTTCTCCATGTTTCTACCAGCAACACATCTGTAACAGCACACAGAAGCAAGTTCACGCTTTATCAATCTACTGAATCAGTTTATCTGCCTTGCTCAAAAGTACAGCACACATTGCAACACCTTCACACAGAGACTGGAACGATAACAGTCAGCAGTTGAGCTGTAATACTTTGCAGCTCAACTGACCTCTAAAATGTGCAAAAATAAGTCATAGTATAGTATGATGTCAAAAATTGCAAAATTAGTCATAGTATAGTATGACTTCAAAAATTGCAAAATTAGTCATAGTATAGTATGATGTCAAAAATTTGCAAAAATAGTCATAGTATATAGTATGATGTCGAAAATGTGCAAAAATAAGTCATGGGTTACTATGACTTCAAAAATTGCAAAATTAGTCATAGTATAGTATGATGTCGAAAATGTGCAAAAATAAGTCAGTGTAGTATGACGTCGAAAATATGCAAAAATAAGTCATAGTATATATAGTATGACTTCAAAAATTGCAAAATTAGTCATAGTATAGTATGATGTCGAAAATGTGCAAAAATTAGTCATGGGTTACTATGACTTCAAAAATTGCAAAATTAGTCATAGTATAGTATGATGTCGAAAATGTGCAAAAATAAGTC